TAACCAATCCATTATCCTCCACTTAGAGACAAACAACCTACTCTCTAATAAGCAATTTGGTTTCAGAAAAAAACTACCCTGTAATCTGCAACTCTTACACTGCAAAAACATATGGACTACACAACTTGATCAGGGCAAAGCAATAGATGCAATCTACATAGACTTCTGTAAAGCCTTTGATTCAGTGGTACACGACAAACTACTCCTAAAACTAAAATCTTATGGTATCTCTGGACACCTACATAACTGGATAGAAGCATTCCTGTCAAACAGACAAAAAATGGTCAAAATAGGGAGTGTCCTGTCAAATTCTGTATCTGTCAACAGTGGTGTCCCCCAAGGCAGTGTTCTAGGACCAACTCTCTTCATACTCTACATAAATGACCTCTGTGATCATATTAAGAGCAACTCCGTTCTCTTCGATGATGATATAAAGCTATTCAACACTACAGACAATACTACTACCCTTCCAAAAGACCTTGATTATGTATCAGAATGGTCAATCAAATGGCAACTTCAAATCTCAACAACTAAATGCTCTGTCTTACATAATGGCAAAAAAAATCAGAAAATAAAATACAAGCTAAATAATCAAGACCTTGTTGAGGATCCAAACTTTGTCAAGGACCTTGGAGTACTCATCTCAAATGGTCTAAGTGCTAGAGCTCACTGTAACTACATAGTCAAAAAGGCATTAAGAGTTGTTAACCTAATCCTACATAGCTTCTTCTCTGGGAATATCACACTACTAACTGGAGCATACAAAACATTTGCTAGACCTATACTTGAATACAGCTCATCAGTCTGGAACCCATATCATGTATCTGATATTAACACAACTGAAAATATCTAGAAATATTTCACAAGAAGAGTTCTCCGCTCTTCTACTCATTGCAGAATACCTTATGTCACCAGACTTGAAACTCTAGACCTAGAAAACCTAGAACTATGCTGCCTCCGGTCTGATCTAAATATAGTATATAAAATCATACATTGCAATGTCCCACCTGCAAATGAATACTTCAGCTTCAATCATAACAATACAAGAGCAAACAATAAATACAAACTCAAGGTTAACCACACCAAACTTGACTGCAGAAAATACGACTTCAGCAACAGAGTGGTCAATCTTTGGAATACTCTATCTGACTCTGGTTTCTTTCCCAAACCCCAAAAACTTTAACCTTAGACTGTCTACTATTGACCTCACCCGCTTCCTAAGAGGCCTGTAGGCGCCATGCCATAAGCCACCAACATGCCTACCGTCCCTGTCCTATTGTTTCTTTTTATTTTTCTTATAAGTATCTATCTCATGTATTCAAAACTGTGTTTATTCTTATACCTGTATCTTGTAAGCGATTGACAAATCAAATAAATATTAAAAATGCTAAAATACTAGGATTTTTTTTTACTAGTGCAAGATTTTAATCTGCTTGCGATCTTATCAAAAACTGTAAGGCCACATCTACATGAGCCACCACTGAATCAGCATCCTGCTTGCGATTTCCCATGTGACTCCTTCTCGTTTCATCAGATGAACCAATTTAGTGGCAGATCAGTGCATCTCAAATCAGATTTAAAGCAATTTCCTTTTACTTCACTATGCTTAATCTGAGAGGGGTCAGGTTTTCCACTGGATGGAACTCCAGCATCACCCTGCTTCCCTTAGACTCAGTGCTGCTACTCTCCCTCCTCATAAAGGATCCACTGCTATTATTTCAAAACTTTTTCAAATGCCACACAAGGAGTAACAGCTTTGTGATCCAACACAGTTGCCCATCTCCAATAATTACCTTTCTAATTTTTATTTTTAAAAGAAATCTCCAGGCAGATAAACAGAATATGAAATAGGAACCTAAATAGGAGAGTTGAGGTGTTGATTTCAGTGGAGCGGGCCCTGGTTGCTTCCATGTTCTTAACAATATGAAGGTCAGCAACAGTAACAATGAGCATGGGTTTGCTTCAAACTGTTTTAAATTAGGAAGAGGGACATTGGCAGTACCCTATGAAGCTGCGTAATAGCCACATTATTGAACAGTGATCATTTGTTAGATATGAAGTTCACTGGGTGATATTAGCTGATATCACATGTCTTTCTTATTTTCATTCTTTTTATGCTCAAGGTATATGAGGTAACATGAGAAGATAGAATCATGCAAATCATGAAGGGAGGGAGGGAGGATCTTTCCTATCTGTACACAGTTGCTATAGGGCTGATTATCTCTAGGATACAGTGCAAAAGTTATTCTAATAAGAGAAATGTGTATTCATGCACATCATGTTAATGTGATACATGTATTTATATTTCGCAGTATTTATAATGACCAAATCCTGAAGGAATCTGGGTTTTTTTAGATGATGAAAGTATTTATTACCATATGACAAATCTGTACCAGTTTTGGACATGGTTATTCATTCCTTATTTTCACCAATACTTTGTGTCTTAAGAATTGCCCAACTTTTCCTTGCTATTACCATGAAGTGGCTTATTCCTCTCCCTACCTGATTCCTACCTCCCTGGTAAAACTATATGACAAGATAGATTACATGCTACTCAAAGCCCACCTGACATCTCTGAGTGTTGATATTGGCTATTTCTATAGCTTTAGGAATAGACCTTCAGTTCTAATCAACCAATGCATCCTCAGATATGTTCACCAACACATGTGTATATGTGCAAATCAGTGGTAGGATTCAAAAATTTTTATTACGGGTTCTGTGGGTGTGGCTTGGTGGGCGTGGCAGGTGAAGGATACTGTAAAATCTCCAGTCAGAGGTGGTGTTTGCCGGTTCTCTGAACTACTCAAAATTTCTGCTACCGGTTCTCCAGAACTGGTCAGAACCTGCTGAATATAACCTCTGGTGCACATGTTCTGGTATCCTGAATTGTTCTCTGGAAAAGGTGTTCTTTAGCAATGGAAAGTAAATGCTTAATTTTCTATCAAGGGCAACATTTGTGAAGATAGATGATTTATGTATAAATGGTCCTTTAACACAAAACATTATTTTAAATAACTGCATTTTTACAGATACAGAGATATTCTGATCCTTTTCTTTGAAGAGTGTTTGCTTTTGATTGTGACTTATTCTTCATGCTCTAATTTTTTGTTGAAAAGGATGTTGCTTAATTTCACTTTAGTATTCAGATCACTGTGGTGTGATTGTTTCATCTGTGCCATTCTCTCCATTGGAGATGAGACCATTTACTTCAGGCTAGACCTGTTAGCACCATGTGGGGCTTTAAAGTGCTAGATATGTCTTTTTATAATAAAGTTTGATTTTGAAAATCGAAATAATATTTATTAAAGTGTGATTGTCATAAAAAGGCTACAGTAGAATACACCAATGAATTATATTGTTTAGTTAATGTTATGGTTTGCTTTGCTTAATATGTGATTTTGTAAACTTGTGAACATATTGATGCTTGAAATGAAAAATATATTTTGGCATATTCTATCTACTTTAGTAAATTTTAAAGAGAACATTTCTTCATGGACTCAAGTGCTTTCCTAGAATCTAAGAAAAAAGGAAATTCTGTGGATTCAGTTATCTTTCTTCATTAATTTGGAAATGTCTGCCTCAAAACAGAGTTGTTTCAAACTCAAAGCTTCCAAAATGATTGAAACATCATTGAAACCACTGGTTTAAATGGCTTTGGATTCATTAATAGTTGCATCCTATGTGAAGTATCTATTTATCTTTAAAGCATATCGTTTTTACTTTGCTTACCAATGAGTGTAGTTTTTCTGAGAACAGTGTTGAACATTTAGAGAAAAATGCATGTGGCACAGTTTTTATGCTAAAATCTAACAGGAAATATTCTCTCTAATGCATACACTTATTCGGAACTTAAGTCTCTGGAAATAATCAATGTGGAGATAAAGAATACCAAACAGCAGTTCCAATATGTGTCTACAACTTGTTCTTACAAAAGATAAAATATATGTAATGGTTTTTCAATTCCTGGAAAATATTAAATACATAAGCAAATGAAGTAAATATTTTGATTTAAAAGAACATTTAGATAATTTCTATTATATTTATTAAGCTTCTACTAAAATCTGCAGTAGCTGGGCACATAAGATCCTGGAGCTCTGTACCTCAGAAAACTGGGTGACTTTTAAAAATTATTATTTAATTTAAAATCTAAGATGATGATTACAGCATCTCAGTTATTTTTAAAACTATTCTGAAATCTTCTAAGGCTCTAAAAATGAGAAGATCCATTGGGAACCAGAGATTGAGATGTTACGTATCTCATTTAGTCTCACCTGCACATGTAACTGTCTGTACTTATGAAACAACGTTTAATTGCTGATTGGCACAATGATGGCTTATCTATTGGGGAGGGAATTATCACTTCCAAAAATTGAATTAAAAATCCTACATCCATGAAATCAAAAGTTAACATATAAAAGGGCAGATTCCAGGTTTTATGTAAAACTGCTGAGCATATGGAATAAATCAAAATGCAACCGTTATCTTGAGGTCCTGCGGGACAAAGTGCCTTGTTTGATGCTATGGAGCCTCCCTCAAGATGGTGCAGAAAAATGGGCTTGGGTGATTGCTGAGTCATGCAGCAGGAGGGGTTCCATTCATTCCCTCAGATGCAGCCCTTTTTGGTTGTCACAAACCTATTCTCCACTAAAGAATTGATTTAACAGGCATAGGGAGGCGCGGAGAATGGGGAGCATGTGAAAGAAAAGGAGGTTAACTGATTCTTCATGTTTCCTTTACAAACGTGCGGAGGGAAGGGAGACAATCAAGCACAGAACTGGGGTCTCTGACGTATAGCTGAGTGCTTCCAGCAGAGATCTTTATGGACCAGTAGACAGATCAAGACTAAAGCTGACCAGACTTTGTGCATCTTGGAAAAGAGAGCAATCTACTGTAGTGAGAAACGAAGCCACTCAATTATTGCAACAGCAAAGAAGTGTCAGAAGGAAAGGAAGAAAGAAGGAAAGGAAGACTGTCTCTTTGCTGGGGGCGGGAGCGAAAGCATTTTTGGTGGATGGTATAAGCCAGCCATGGAAACTGCTGCGGAGGAAAATAGAGAACAAAGGCAAGAGAAAAAAGGTACCCAGAGGACTGAACAATAGACTGTTTAAATCTTTTTAAGCGCCTCCAGTTCTGAAAAGATTGGGGCTGTATTTGAAGCTCTCTTTAGAGCTCTGCTTAAACGATCATTTGTTGTATCTTTCAGTTTCCGTGTTCTGTAGGGCTTGACAGCTGATTAATGGAACTGCTACCCATTGCTTTAGCTCTGTGAAGTTGTTTTCAACTATTCCCATCTCCATAAAAATCCAGTTCACAGAAAAATAGCAGGGTGTACGGATGTGCGTTATGTGTATGTTTTGAATCTGTATGATTTAAATCAGTGTGAAGCTTTGTGCCAAAATGGGTTTGATACGAGGCTCTAGGGGGTCTGTCTTTCATTAGACAGCAGCTAGTTATACCTTGTATTTTTGTCACACACAGGGAGAGATTGGTGCACACATTGGCTGTGAATAGGAAACAGCACCATGTTTGAAAGAAATGTTCCAAAATAGATTTGTAGAGCTCGGAATGGCAGGGTGGCAAGTGAGAATGAATTTGAATGTTGTTGGTGATGTATTGTTCTGAAAGACTCATTCACACACATCAAAATTGGCAAGTTTTGTAAAGCTTTCTTTAATTAACCATTTCTTATTCTAAGGTTATGCACAATATTGCTGAAAATATTAATCAAGAATAAGTGTCACCAAAGCTATTGACTTGAAAGGGGGATGAATATAGGTAGAGGATTGCATTTAGTGGTAATAGGTTGTCTTGTATGATATGGCTGTTAGCCCATTTGTGTATTATATTTTATTAGTAGCATTTCAGTTTTTTATTTGTAATGTAAACTACTAATTTGGTATCTACGTGATACAGGTTTGAAGCAACTAAAATACATATATCAATTAAATAGTGTAACTGTGTGGAGATCCGTTCGGCAAATTAATTTCCTCTTTCTACAATAGTTATTGCTAGCTTCTAAGTTCAGTAAAATAAATTTGGCAAGCAGCTGCTAGAGCATCATGATCATCATCATCATCATCTAGAGAGATTATTTAAAATTTTTAATGGCAAAAGCTTAAAATCTGGAGGGGAAATATGCATTTTCCACACCAGTAATCAGCAACACTGAACTTTTTTTTAAAATACAACATGTTTTAAAAAGTACTTTAAAAACCTAAATAGCTCTTAAGTCTCCACAGTTCATTTTTTTAAACTGAGTTTATAAATAGTTGTCTTTTTACTTGTCAGTTACAGTTAATACTTTTGTGTAAGGGAATTGAGTTAGTTGTGTGCTTCTAAGTCATGAATTAAGTTATTCTTAGAATTTAATTTCCTTTAAATAAGTGAATTTTCACAAATCTATTATTTAGTTCACCGCCCTAGTCTTGCAAATCAAAAGAGTCTTTTAGCATGCAACAAGAAGCCTGCTCCGCTCAGTAAGTTTTTTTGTGCTTTCTTTTTCTTTTTAAGAGTCACCCTTTATATCACATCACAAACTTCCATTGAGCATTTCTACCATACCAAAACAGACTGACTGGCTTGTAACTTTAGAGAGAGAATCCGCACAAGAAACACAAACCCATATTTCTCTTGGGCTAGGTGACTTTTTTTTAATTAATCATGGTCTACTTTATATTTTGTAATGAATATAGAGAATGTTTCTCATTTAAAGAAGATCACTAATGAGTCTGATGGGAGTTTATAAAGACAGCCTGCATTATTTTGGAGTGAGATTCTGAATTGATACTATAAGAAACTACATGGATATTTTCGGCTGCCTCTAACTTATTTTTCCAGATAGCCTAGTTGGCAGCTTCTACTTAAACCCTTTAGAGCAAAATAAGGATGGACATTATGATGCTTATTCTCCATATGCTCTTGTAGAATTTGTTTTTTATATATTAATGGAATTTAAATAATTTATAATTGAGCTATTATAAATAGCTGATCCAAAGTATAACTGAAATTAATTACATTTGAGAGCTTAACCAGGCTTTGGTGTCCTGCCAATTTTTCATTTAATATATGTTTACTGAAATTGTGAAGATTTTCCCCCAGGTTTGATTTGTAATATTTGCATCTAGTGATTTTTATGAATGTTATTATGTAATGATGTTTAAACAATTATTTCCCAAATTCATAAAATGTTTTTCCAGTAAGTATTATAAGCTATGGATAAATATACCTTTCTACCTTTCTAATTATTAACATTGTAATTAATTTTTATTTTTTAAAAAAAAACATGTCTTTTTAAAGGCATAATTCTGTTTTAAAAATTGAATGTAGTTAATACATATTTTTTTCATTTGACTAGCTCTACAATAATGAAATTATTAATACAATTGTCAGCACTAAATAAAAAAAGTAAATTTGATTTCAATTTTTAAAAGTTTGGCACATTTATCCATCCATTTATATACTGATAGCATTTAGAAGTCCTTAGAATTTGATTTAAAGTATTTTGGATGGAAATTTGTTCCACTTATTTCTATTATTGAATATAATGAAATTTTAATGTAGAACTTCTGGAGGACATTATTTTGAGAAACGACCTGCCCCTATGGGATTTCTGTCATTTGTTTAAATCAGAGATATATTCAAATCTATAGTCCTATTTATTTTATTTTACTGCATTGCATTTTGATGAAAAACCAAGGATTTCCGTTATAGACAGAACATGTCTTCAATATACAGCATGCAAAATGACATTTAGATTGTGGTGAAATTAACATGAACCCTTAATCAAAATTGACTGAATGCAACTAACATGTGATCTACCCTTGGCCTATATGTCCAGTTATTCAGGTAATTGTTGAACTTTACAAAGCTGTGAAAGAGATTGATCGCATTTAAAGCCAAAAATGTATACATTATTTTAAATGACAGCATTTATCTTGCAAGCATTAAATTAAATAAAAAAAATGGAAGATGGGACTACAGAGATTTATTGAGATTGAATAAATCAGTAATGCATGCCACTTTCTATCAGCAGTAGAGAAAATACACCCTGATGTATATTAGTACGGACAAGATGTTTTCATTTAATGTGGGGGAGGAAAAACTGCTCTAGTAAATGAAGTAGTTGTCAAGTGCCACAAACATTTATTCTAGATGTCTAGAGAAAAGGTTAGTGAGTTAAAAAACAAATCAGAAGTACTGCTGCATATGGCATATGATTATTTTACAAAGGAATTGAGCAAAATTTCCACTCCTTTGTGGACCTATTTGGATATAAGCTCTGTTAATATCAGTATTGTCTACTTCTGAGTAAATATATAAATTATTTCACTATATGAAGGGTGAAAGCTAATATCTGAAGTTTGACCATAGGAAGGAAGAATTACTGAGATGTTAGATGAAAATCTTACTTCTGTTTGAATAAAATTGAAAACATAATAATGTATATTAAAAAAATATTAATATTTAATTCTAGGAGTTTTTTTATAAAAAGTAAATTATACCAAAATACGCTTACAACAGTTACGTAACATTTTTACTTCTTTCTAGGAGAAATGACTGAATGAGGGTAACATCCTTGACATGACCATTTTTGTCTTCTCCAGGAGGTTCAGAATAGTGTTACTCTAACACTTGAGGATTTCTTTTTAAGATCAAGAGCTTTTAAATGGATTGATTAATCCCCCACCCCACTTTTCTGTAGAAATTCAAGATAGAACACATAGCACTCCCTCTTCCTATTTTTCCTACCTGTGACAGGGGTTGGGCTGGAGAGAACGAGAGGCCCAAATTTAGACACTTAACTTCATGTAGTTGAGGAATTTATTTGCATGTGGACAAGCAATACTGGAATCCCAGCAAAGCTTTGAAACTTTGCTGAGTGGCCATGAACAAAAACGGAATAAAGTCTTGTATATCTTTGGCCCTTCTGCATTGCAGGGCAAAGAAACACAAAGGTGAAACAAAGACAAAGGCAGGCACAGTGGAAATTACAGTGCAACAATGGAATACTTTAGATAAAAGTATTGACCGGATTTTTATTTATTTGTTCTCCTAGGTCAGCATGCTAGCCATACTATCTTCAGGACATAGTCAGTGAATAGAAATGGGCAACTGAGTCTTTTCCCTGTTGCCACTCAGAGTTACTTCAGCTTCACTCAGTGTCTACCTTTTTCTTTTCTTTTGTATTATGGCTTGTTGGCATGCAAATAAAATAGTGGTAATTTGTTGCATTTCAAAGTCATTTGGTTTCTTTAGGCAGGCTGAGTTTTGGCCACAACGCTGGACTTAGGCGTGATTCTCCCCAGTGCTAACCCAACTCCTTAACCATTACATCAGATCAGGAACAATTGCTCGGAGGCCTTAATGTATATAGAGCATTCCTTTTGTTCCTGGTCATGTTTGGGATTCCCCGTGTTTAATTTTGCAATAGTAAAGTGTTATTTTATTTTTTTAAAAAAAAATTTTTAACAACAAACATAGACAAACATAAGCATGGACACAAAACATAAGACCTTCTTTCCATTGTACAGTGTGTCAGTCGGTACAAATCTTCATGTGCACAATATCAACAGTCCTTCCCTTCTAATTATATTATTAAAATTTATTTTACATGAATATGCATAATATATTGTTATTAACTACTTATTGGACTTTACTTATAGACTATATCATCTTTTTTGAGCAAATTCCAGTTTTTAAAATATCTCAATTCATAATATCATTCATTTCAGTATAATCCATTATAACCTATTACATTATCTTATCTTTACTCTATCATTGTATTTATATTGTATTAAATCCCATTTCCCTATTCTCTTTTCTAACCATTGATAAAATGAATCCCAAATTTTATAATACTCTTTATCTTCTCGGTCTCTACTTGCTAATGTCAATTTAGCAATATTAAAGTGTTATGTACATTATAACCTCACAATATATCACCCTTGTAATATCAGTAGATCCCATCTAGCTGGTTTCCAATCTGAAGTGAATATGAGTAATCTTACCCACAGTGCTTAGCAGGGGTGGGACTCAAAATTTTTAACAACTGGTTCTGTGGGTGTGACTAGGTGGCC